ACAGCCACACTTTGGGCCTGACGCCTCCCCGGAGGCTGGCGGACAGCTGTGTGTGGCAGCTCACTCACTCACCCCCAAGTTTTCCAGCAGCAGCTGCATCACCTCGTCGCAGAATGGCAGGATGCTGGACTGCAGCGCACGGCACAGGTCTCCCACCAGGCCCACTGCTGCCAAGCAAACCTGCAGAGGAGCAAGGAAATGATTTCCCAACAGAAAAGACGGCCTGCAGGGAGGGGTAAAGCACTGTTTACCTAGCTGCTGGTCCTTTAACACTTGAACCTAGAGTCAAAGAAAAAAAAATCCCCCCTCTCTGAGATTTGTTCATTTTAATGAATATGGCAGGAAGAGAACTAAGACTATCAGAGATATCACTAAGAAAAGACAATATTCACCAGGGATGGTGATGGTGGAGGCAGCTGGCTTGGAAAAAAAAAATAGTACTGCTATTAGAGTACTACTCTATTTTAGGCAGCTAATATCCTGCTTCTCACTGACTACTTTTGTTCAGACACTCAGAGCAACAAATAAAATAGCTCAATACTTGGGTCGATACACAGGGAAGAACTACCTGCGCTACAGGAAACCGAGTTTGTACCAGAATGACTATTAGGTATAAATGAGAATATAAATGTATTATAATTGATCTTTGAATGATGTGGAGGTTGGGGTACCAACCCAGGTACAGTCCAAAATCCACATATAACTTTTTCACAACACTGGAGCGTGCTGCAATGACAACAGAAGGTGGCTATGAGGTAATTACGGTAATAGTTCTGTTGTAGTTAATGTCAAACAATTATGATTTAACACTGCCTCTTTATTTCTGTTTACATTTCTCTTGATTGTCGCCATGTATATAACTTTGTGTATATAACTTTTGATAAAGTTTAACTCTTTATATTTATAACAGACATAATTTTGTGATAGTAAATGATAAAATAAATTGGTATCTACATGTATTTTATGCATTCATGACACAACTAATTTTCTTTTAATTTTTCAACATTTCTAGGCTATGTGATCCATGTCTGCAAGTTTTTTCAAACTGTTGCAAATCTCCAAAAAAAATTTCCAACGTATTAAAATGTCTGCATACAAGTAGACCTGAGCAGTTCAAAGGTCAACTATATTTTGAAATGTATAGCCTACCTGGTACTCAGCATAGTTTTTCAATCCAATGCCCAGGAAGGGTTTAAAGGCCTCCATGTACTTTAGGAATTCACCACCCAACACTGTAAAGAAACAAACTATTACCACCACAGGATATCACAGAAGTGAGCAAAAATAACCATGCTAGCAGTCCCAAACTCACCAGGTTGGGTGAGTTCATTACCGACTATCATTAAGACATTAAGGCTGCCTCAGACAAACCAAATTTTAACTGCTGGAAGGGCCTGACTCCACGCCACATGGCCAGAGTAGGATTTCACTCTGGCTCAAACAACCAAGTGGCAGGGCCTCCTAGGAATGTCAAGGTTAATTTGAATTGGCTGAGCTAGCAATACTGCCTCTTGTCTGCCTCTTCCTCTGATTATAACATGTCCTCTTGGAAGCCAGCTTACAACTGGGTCCCTAGGCAATTCCATTAAGGACTTACTTAAGCCAGTCAGGACAAGCAGACTGGGATGCATATCCAAATCAGCCACTCGAGGAGCCCAAATGAACCGCTGTGCTCCGTTAGGGTGGTCCCATGATGCCAGACCAGCTAGACACATGCTCTTTAAGCTAGAAATAGGTCTGGTCCTCAGGGGGGTGGTTCTCAGGTACAGGCATCGCCGGAAGAAGCATTCCAGGTTTCTAAACTGCTCTTTAATGTATTTTTAATGACCCTTCAAAGAGTCTTAAGTCTGATGTGGCTTCTCCGACTAAGTCATGTAACAACCAGAAATTCCAAGAACTCACTCATTGTTTTGTTCCATCCCATACCAGGCACTATGATGTGTCAACCCGAGTCCAAAGCATTACAACCCAAACCAAGAGGTAACAAGTTCCAGGAAAGAAAATAGAAACCTTTGCTTCCTCTATCCTTGATAGGAGCCAAACCTCAATAATCAAGTAGACTTTCAGGAGAAAAGAAACCCGATACACATTAGGAAGATGATAACAGTTTCCCCCAAAAGGGTTGCCAATCTGATTTGCAAACTGGCTCCCCATTTACTTTCAAGGAGATTAAGTGGCAAGGCCGTCATGCGCAATTTTACAATCACATTCAATTTAACTTGAAGTGACTCATGCCGCAGTAAATGAGAAAACAGAACTACGCTTTCCACAGTAAAAAATTCTTCATGGCATCGTAGCTCTTGCATTCTAAAAACATTCCCTGCCTGATGTCTGCTCACTGACCTTCCACTAGTGTGCTAACTGCCATTAGGGCATCCTCTTGAACTCCCCCTGACCCAGCCGTGCTTTGGAACATCCTTAACAGGGAAGCCATGACGACATCAGAGATCTGCAAAGCATCTTGATGTTGCACTTTCCGGAGAACATTCTGTGAAATGAACAAGAGTTCAGGATCTGTTGATTCCAAACCCTCCAATCAGAACACTATACTTAAAAAAAAGAAACACAATTAAGTCCCTTGAAATTTTTTCTTAAAAAAAAGCCAAATATACTGTCCTGGCTGGCATGGTTCAATGGTTAGAGCGTCAGCCTGCATACCAGAGGGTTGTAGGTTCACTCCCCGCCCGTAGGTGGGGCACGTGTGGGAGACAGCCAGTCAAATAGATGTTTCTCTCTCTAGCCTCCCCCCCCCCCCCCCCCCGCCCCCCGTTTCTTCCCACTCTCTCTGAAAAAGCAATGTAAAAAATATCCTTAGGTCAGGATAAATATAAAAGGCCAAATACACCTTTTATGCTCAAATGTTTTGACAGTGCAAATCACTTGCAAAGTACATTCTAATATCCCTTCGATTTCCCAATTCAGAACACACACGATGATCTTCCATGGTACATAAAACCAACTCTTTATGTCTGACAAACCCATCAGCAGCTTCCATATTCCAGTCTTATTACTTCTGCTTTAAAGAACATATCATATATACTGAGTGGCCAGATTATTATGACCACCCCATCAGTACAATGAAGTGAATTCGTTATGCAAATAATAATAAAACCTTGAGAGTATTTGCTTAGGAAGTTTTCAATATTCAATATTTTTGGAAGTGTCAATGAAGTACTGATGGGGTGGTCATAATAATCTGGCCACTCAGTGTAGTTCTTATTCATAAAACAACAACAATAACAACCCTTCATATATCCTAATGGTCAAGATAACGGTCAAGAAACAGTCTTGATAAAATGAAGCCAACCTGCCTTTTCCTAATTTAATATTCCGCCAACTTCCCTCCTTAACCTTTAATTTGTTTCAACTAATGTTACTAAATAATTCCTGTACTTGTCTGATGAATAAGGAAACACCTCTTAACAGTCATGCTTTAAGTTTGGCCCAGCCAGCATGGCTCAGTGACTGAGCATCAACCTATGAACCAGGAGGTCACGGTTCGATTCCCAGTCAGGGCACAGGCCTGGGTTACAGGCTCAAACCCCAGTGCAGGGCATATAGGAGGCAGCCGATCAGTGATTCCCTTTCATCATTGTATTTCTATCTCTCTCTCCCTCTCCCTTCCTCTCTGTAACCAATAAAAATATATTTTAAAAACATTAAGTTTGGAGTAAGAGAAGTAAGGTTACCTAGTAAGCATCACTCAATACTAAAATCTAGTGCCCACCTAAGCATCGGGCAAGTTCCAGGGTTTTCCTGTTCTTTAGTAAAAAACCCTCAGCCACTGCATGACTTGTCATGAGGAGTGACATTTGAATTATCCCGGCTTTTCAGAAAACGGCTACTGTCCACACTAGGTATTAACTCATGGTATGATGGTAGAGACTCAAGGCTTTATTTTTAGCTGGGTGAATTACAGCTGGGAACCAAATCTACTGGACTACACTGGGACAACCAATGAAAACCAAAGACTAAAAGTTGCCCCGACGCTAAACAGCTGTAAAGAAGCATTCTTATCAGTCTGTTGAGATTTTTGCTTTCAGGTGTATCCTGTTCAACTCAAATAACTCATAAATTCAAATAAACAAAAAACGCTGTATAGCAAGGAGGACCATCATAGCAAGGAGGAGCAGTTTTCTTCCCGACAGTGTGCAGAAAACAAATGCCTTCTCGATGGAGAGAGACAGGAAAATGAAAAACTTTCTGCCAATCCTTCAGAGAAGTTTCTCATAAGCATCACCTGCACCATTTCAGAGATCAGGGTGCACATAACCTGTTATCCTGGGATATGATTCTCTTCCCTGGAGAGTGCGACAGGCCACCATCATACCTGAAGAGTTGCGCAGAGTAGAGACTGAAGGTCATTGAACTGGATCCTGTCCGATGTGCTCTGGATGTGTGACTACAAGGAAAAGAAGATGATCGTGCTCTGAATAGATACTTTTTAAAGAGGCTCTACAGTCCCTCAATGTTTCCATTTTTGCTGGGTTTGCCAGGACCATTAAATAAGCTTTACTGATGCTAATGTAGGAAAGTAAATAAAATGTAACCCATGTGCCCTGGGGTCAGTAACTCGGTTGTTTAAAGCAGCTGTCTCCAACCGGTGGTCGGCAGACCACCAGTCCGTGAGGTCCAAAAGGTTGGCAACTGCTGAGTTAGAGCATTCTCCCGATACTCCAAGGTTGTGGGTTTGATTCCAGGTCAGGGCACTTACAAGAAGGAACCAGTGAATACATAAGTGGAACAATAATTTGATGTTTCTTTCTCTCTCCCACAAACCAATCAATAAAAACAAACAACAAAAAACACCCCCCCCACATTTATGAGTAAACTGTGACAAGCAATGCAAACTTTAAATTACAACACTTCTTTGCATAAGCATTATATCTTCCTGAGAAAATATATACTTAACACCGAAAGAAAGAACAGCCTTGAAAGCAAAGCTGTGTTAGAAGTACTGCACCCTGTCTGCCAACAGCCAGGAACGCCCTAAGTCTCACCTCCATCTGAAGTACTTGTTGAAGTCGCTCCATGATGACTAGAGTAGTTTTCTGAACTGCAGGGTAACAATCCTTGGCACTGTTTTTCACAATTTCCATCAGAGATTCATATGCAGAACTCCTCAGATTGTTCTGGTGTCCATCAGGTCTGCAAGCAAAAACCAGCAAAAATCATAAAGTCCCAATTGAGAAAGAACAGAGGAATTGGTATAATGTAAACATTGTTTCATCAAAAATAAGAAATCAGGCCCTGGCTGCTGTGGCCCAGATGGTTGAGCGTCCTCCAGTGTACCAAAAGGTCACCGGTTCAATTCCCAGTCAGGGCACATACCTGGGTTACGGGTTCGATTCCTGGTCAGGGTGCGTGTGGGAGGTGGCTAATGTTTCTCACACAGATGTTTGTTTCTCTCTCTCCTTTCCTCTCTAAAATCAGTAAAAATATATCTAAAAAATTAATAACATTTTGCTGTATTTCAACCATTAAAGAACTCAGAAACTGATATGGTGGCATACCTATTTGAGTGTGGCAACAAAATACAGCCAGGAAATAAATTTTCAACCTTTGAGCCAATGACTGTGTTCATTATGGTCTCCAGACCTGGTTAAACTACTGAATGGCCTTTTTGGAAATAGGCTATAATTATAAGAAAAAGTTAGATAAAAATGATGAAGAACCTATGTGGACAATTAAAGAGGTTGCCTGAGTAGCTAAGAAAAAGGCATCTAAAATTTCCTCATTAATCTATGAGATGCCTTTATATATAATTTTGAACAGAGAAGTGGAAATAAACAAGGTAAGCCTGAAGAACTTATACATAGCCCGCTTCCTTAATGGTTTCTTTTTCTTTTTATTTCTCTCTTATTTAAACAAATAATCTACTATAGGATTCTTCTAATTCCTCCTATTATTATGTTTCTATGACTAGGTCAGACAACCCCCCACACAGAAGGCAGGGGTTGAATGCAAAGACACCTAATAAGAAGTTACCTGTCCGTGGTCTCCAGGAGCTTCTGAACTATTAGTTCAAAAGAAGACGACAAGCAATAGGTAGCTGGTTCTTCCTGATCATCGGCTACGTCTGCAGCTTCATAAGCAGCTTCAGCCAGACTAGAGAAAGCCTTAAAACCAAAGAGAGTTAATACTGGTCCTGCAAAGAACCCTACCCCAGGATCACCTCATTTCCCTTAAGATACCTTGGGCAGTGTTCCTCTCCAACTGATCTTAGAATATATCAATGCTAGTGAATTCTCAACTTTTTCGGTCAAGGTCATCTCAAAACAACATTTTATAGGGATCCTTAAAATTAAATGTTTACTTATTTATATATGTTTGTGCGGCCCAAAACTCTCTAAGCAGCAGAGTACTTTCATCTACCACAAATGCCTGCCACTTCTACTTCTAATCATAGAAAGGCTTTTAGCCCCCCCATTTCCTTATTTGAACTTCCTCCCCCACACCCCCAAATGTCCCTAGTGAACGACATTCAGCCCATATTGACTCAGCACTTACACCGCCTACCTTCCTTTCCTCTTGTCCCCTTCTCAGCAATTGTACTTTTTGTAGCTAGCAACTCTCTACTTTAATCTAAATTTCTTCTCCCCAAGCAACTGAAGAAGAAAATGGAGTCTAGATAGTTTTCCCACTGGGTTAGCATGACTGTTTTAAATGGTTGAGGAACTGAACCAGTCACCATGAGTCAACAGCTCCTACTGGCTAATGCAGTTGACATCTCCCCCACATTTAATTGAAGAAATTAGAAAGGAGATGCTATTCAGAAAAAGCATTCCAGGGAGGCAGACCCATTTCTCTCCCACACCTCATATTTCCTTGCCAATGGTTTAGCCAAGATCCTTATCTCACCAGGAAAAATTCCCTTACCCAGCACACATTTGAAGCCACTCTGGGTTCAGCACTGAGGCCCTCGATCAGACACTGCAGCAGGGGAGTCAAGTAGACATCATTGATGGCAGCTTCAGGGAGCAGTTCACAAATTCTGCCCACAGTCCATGCAGTTGTATCTCGAACAACTACACTGGGGTCTTTCATTAATTCTATTAGGGTGGGCATAGCCTGAAAATACAACATAGTTATTAGCAAGGCAAAACAAAGATTAAAACTCATGTTGACTAATACCTCAGAAGAGGAAATTCTAATGGTTAGGTTTTAACTCAAAGCATCAAGATGGTTTTGTCATTTTAAAGACATGCTTGTCAAATAACCATAATATAATAAATAAAAGTAAGTAAAGGGAAAAGTCCTCTCTACACCAAATTCCAGTATACAGTTTTCTTCAGGATTTGGTGTGACTTTTCAGCAACAGTCCTTACTAAATTACTTAGGTTGAGATCCTAGGAAGCAGCTATGATGGCTATATTTGACTATATACTGAAAGGTTCAGTTCTCTACATATTAAACTCAATTATAATGGACTTCTATCATCTTAAATAGCAAAGTAAGTACAATATTTCCCTAAGAATTTTCATTACGTAAATGTCATTTTGTCCCAGGGACAGAACAGTCACATCATTAAAAATTACAAAGAAATGTTTATGATACAGTATTAAGAGAAAAAAACAAGTTAAAAGATTATTTGCACAGTAAGATCTCCATCCAGTTGCACATACTGAAAATAAATATCAAGAGTTAGAATGTTATCCCTAGGCAAGGGAATTAGAGATGACTTGTTATTTTGGCCTTTTCTGCATTTTTCAAGTCATGTCTTTCGTAAAAAAAAAAAAAAAAAAAAAAAAAAAAAAAGGTTAAATATATTTGAACATTCACAAAGAAATATGTTTTACCCTTCATTGGCAGCAAATAGCTATCTAGAAGTAACTTTTGTGGGTGACTACTTACAGCTTTGTTTTTTAAAATAAAGGCACACTTTCAAGCAAATAATTTAAACAAACAATAAATATTTCATTTCCCACCCCAAAACTTCCTCAGCTTCACCTGTATAACTAGTGGTTTGAGCTGATTGGGCTCTGGTCCTTCCAAGATACAGCCAAAAGCCATCACTGCTGCATCCCGGTACCGCCAATCAGGGTTCTTGATGTGTTCTTTAATGAAGGGGAGGACATGGGGGACAATGTCATCTTCACAGCAGGTGGCCAGAAGCATGATGCACACCCCGGCTGCTTTGCAGGGATTCCAGTCGTCGTCATCATCATTTTCATCCTGGAGAAAGAATGTAGCACTAGTTAAGGTTTTGCTTTAAAAAAAAAAAAAAAAGGAAAATCACTTTCATTCACAAGGTACTCTGGCTATTCCCAAATGTCATTAGAACTTAAGCTACGTGGATGAAAATAAAACAAAACCTTTATATTTTACTAAAGGCCTGGTGAATGGATTCATGCACTGGTGGGGTCCCTAGGCCTGGCATGTGGGGATCGGGCCGAAACCGGCTCTCCAACATCCCCCGAGGAGTCCCAGATTTCGAGAGGGTGGTTCTCGGGTGACCCATCCTGGAATCGGGCTCCCTCTTCTTTGGTTCCTGATGTATCACCTGAGAACCGCAGCTGCCAAGTCACTGCAGCTCAGCAGCTCCTGTGTTGAGCATCTGCCCCCTGGTGGTCAGTGTGTGTCATAGCTACCGGTCGGCCAGTCACTCAGGCTTTTATATATCTACTAGAGGCCCGGTGCATGGATTTGTGCACTAGGGTGGGGGTGGGGGGGTGGGGAGGGAAGGCACTCAGCCCGGCCTGTGTCCTCTCACAGTCCGGGACCCCTCGAGGGATATCTGCCTGCCAGGGGGATCGTGCCTAAGCCAGCAGTCAGACATCCTTCTCGCAGTCCAGGACCCCTGGCTCCTTATCGCCCGCCCACAATGGAGGTGGGAGAGGCTCCCGCTACCACTGCTGCACTCACCAGCTGTGAACCCGGCTTCTTCCTGAGCAGCGCTCCCCCTGTGAGAGTGCAATGACCCCCAGGGGGCAGCTCCTGCATTGAGCGTCTGCTCCCTGGTGGTCAGAGTGCATCATAGCAACTGGTTGTTATGCAGTTCAGTCCATTTGCATATTATGGTTTTATTATATAGGATAGCTGCCCCCTGGTGGTCAGTGTGTGTCATAGCTACCGGTCGGCCAGTCGCTTAGGCTTTTATATATATAGATTCTCGTCCACAAAGATTCATCACAGCACAGACTTTGTTAAATAAGATCCAGGTGGAGGGAAGAGCCACTGGAGTATTACACAATGAGATGAACAAACTTCAACTACATGTAACAAGAAGAATGATCTCAGACTTACAGAGTAAAAGGCAGAACAAAAATGTATATAATTCTAGTTATATACATAGTTTAAGGGGCCTATGCAGTTTCAGATAATTACATACCTAAATAATGATTTGTTCCCAAACCAGGAAAGTACAACCAAAATATACAAAAGCAAAAATACTAAGGTCAAAAGATAAAAAATGGCAACTATAAAACTGAGAGATGAGATAAAGTTTTAAGGGAACACCTAGTCCATTTCAAACCAGACACATTTCCACATATCTTTTGAGATTGAAAGAGTCATGTACTTCCTCAAAACAAATTATACTCTTGTGTACAAAGACATTTTGCTGGAAGTTATAGCACTGCTGCCTCAGAGCACTAGCACTGCCAGCTCTTTGGTAACATTTTACATGCACCAGAAGAGATGAGGCAATAGAAACAATTTTCCCAAACACCTCACCAAGGAAAAGTATAAGGCATAAATTCAAAAGGGAATGATTGCAACCAAGATACACTTCATATAAAAGAGTTTCTATATTTACTCATTAGATCCACTTCTTCATGAAGTCTCATTACTTGTATTTGAGTGGCTTAAAACTTGCACCTCTATCTTCCCAACTTTTCTTCACCATAACATTTGTAGCTCAAGTCTCTTCTGCTAGTTTGAACAACGTAGCACTCAGGAAATCAGAGCAGTATGTGGTTCATTCCTGCTCAAAACTGCAAAGTTCTCCTTTACAAACAACTCGGAGCCTAGAGGATCTTATAGATCCAGCTCAGCAGTTCCCGAGTCATCTATATCAGAATATCAACCAGTTGAAGAGTTGCTGAATTCTTGGAAACTGTTCCACAGCAAACCAACCCAAACAAGGTTTCATCACTTACCTGGCTAGAATTGGAAGGTAACTCACCTGTTTAGTTAGTGTCTGTGTGAGGATTGGAACCAGGTACTGTAGTGCTCCCTTGGCATAAAACTTGCTGGTGTGCTCAGGGGGCCGTCCTTGTTCTGCTGCCTGAGGACAAACAGAGAGCAAATTCTGGATGGCAACAAACAAGCTATGATACTAAGGCATACAATGAGAGCCGCCCAGGGATCTGTACAGAAATACATGGAACAAATGGTAACATTTGTTCTGATCTTTGAAGGCATTTATTTTTTGGTCTACTTCAATGAGATTCTTTTATGCTCTTTTTTCATAAGCTCAATGAATTATGCTCTTTTTTCATAAGCTCAATTTATATTAACACAGTGTCATCTGTGACCTTAAGAATGCCAAAATAAGATTTGTGCTTTTTGAAGTACACGAAGACAATCAAGATGGGAAACAAAGATTCCAAGTGCAGAACTAACTCCTTTTTCCATATCTAATTTCTTCATTGAAGTTAGTAAACTATCGATTTCTACATCCCATACTTGCATTAGGACTTCCAAAAGGAAGTACTTTAGCACCAGATGTCACTTTGTTAAACTGTGATTGCCTGCTGCCCCCTTGTGGTCACAGTACTAAAATGTGTATTTATAATAAATCATGCCAGGCTGATTGGGGAAAACATGAGATGCCACATGATTGATCCGTCTCCCTCATAAGTGGCTTTGGCTAGCAGAAAGACAGCTGTACAAATGGAGATACCCACCAAGTCCAGTCAGAATAAAGCCTTCCCAGAGGAGAACAATCATACCCACAAAGGAGATAAATCCCCAAAGCCCAGTCAGAGTAGCAGCTCTCCCCCTAAACCAACTGTCTTGTCTCCCAGGCTCACCTCTGAAGCCTCAATGGCCAAATCCATTTCCTCATCACAGACATTGGACCAGAATTCTATCCCTTGTAGGGCCACTTCATCAATATCACTTTTCATTGCTTCAATTGTGATCTTAAGAGAAAAAACATGGCAACACAGGCCCCACATAAGTGCTGGTTCAAGTTAGACCCCCTCCTCTAACCACAGACATTCAAGTTTCAAAAATGTAGATTTATAAAAGCTGTCTGAAGTGAAAGGTAGAAAAAGAAAACAGATTTTTAAAAATATACTCTTTTTACCAGCAGAAACAGCCAAGCTTTCTTGGCACACTACTAATGAACATAAACATAACACTGCAACTCAAGAAATTTGCTTGATTTAATAATTGCAAGTAAAAAATTATAGAAATGACAAAAAAAAACCCAAATAAGAATGATGGGCTCTGCAATTAGCTACATGCTCAAACACATAAAACAGAAATACTTACTGCAAAAAGAGCAGGACCCATGTATGTCTCCATGTACTGATAATACAAGGACATTATTTTCACCAGATTCTGTAAGGCAGCCACTCGAACCTTTTACAAAGAGCAGATTAAATGGTTTACCATTTAGTTTAGTTGAAAAGGCAATTAGACAAAAGTAACTACTTCACTCAAATGGGTCAATAACCTAAAGGGTCAAGCTAGGTACATTTGGGTTATCATTCCTCCATGTAAGCCATAGCAGGACAAAACTCACTAATACCACTTAGACTAGATCAGTGGTTCTCAACCTTCTGGCCCTTTAAATACAGTTCCTCAAGTGGTGACCCAACCATAAAATTATTTTCGTTGCTACTTCATAACTGTAATGTTGCTACTGTTATGAATCGTCATGTAAATATCTGATATGCAGGATGGTCTTAGGCGACCCCTGTGAAAGGGTCGTTCGACCGCCAAAGGGGTCGCGACCCACAGGTTGAGAACCGCTGGACTAAATGTTACTTCAAGGGTCAAGATTAGGTTACAGCAATAGCAAAGCTGTTTCAATGGCTACACTGGAAAACAATCAATTAAAAAATTACTGCAATTAAGTAGCAAGGCGGATCAAAAACCATTTCTCCCCTAAACCCTTTCAAGATGTCAGCTTCTAATATGTTAACTTTCCAAGTCCTATTCTTTCCTTTTCTTTAATGTTGAAGAAAAATTCTTATTGGTCAAACCTTATTTCTGAAGTCACCTGATTCTCAACATTTCAAACTACAATGCTAGAGTTGGCATTTCCTAGGAAAGTAGACAAGACAGATAATTCAATGACCTCATACTTACCCTCGTATCTGGACACTGTGTGGCTTCACAAACCACCTGCATAATAAAGTGCCTTTCGGACTGCAGAAATAAAAGGGAGTTAGAAGAGTATAAACCACACATATGAAAATTGCTAGGCTATTATTTCAAGAAAAACCTTACTCCCTCCGGAACACACATAATCCTGGACCAATCAAGCAGCTTTACCTTGACACAGTAATAGCACTGGGAAGGCTATAGAGTTTGCCCCCAGTGTCTACTATATGACCTGCCCTCAAAGGAAGTCCCACCCTGGCTGGTTTGGCTCAGTGGTTGGAAGTGTTTCTGGTTCGATTCTTGGTCAAGGGCATTTACCTGGATTGCAGGTTTGATCCATGATGCGTGCAGGAGGCAACCATTAATCTCGCATTGATGTTACCCCCACCCCTCCATTCCACTCTCTAAAAAAATTCCTTGGGTGAGGATTAATAAAAACAAATAGCGCACCTACAGTAGGAAAATCTGTTTCTTTGTATTTAAAAATTAAGAGAATTCAAAACATCTGCTTTATTTCAGAGACAAAACTGGTTTCCTGAGAGGTGGCAAATCCACATCAAATGTGGCAAGATATAGAATAGAATAATAAACTTTGCTATTGTCCTAAATCTTCTAAAATCTAAAAGGAAAACCCCTATTTTCTAAGCAATTAGAATTTCAGTTTGCTTTGGCCTGCTTTAGACCTCCCTTCTTTGTCCACTATAAGGCCAAGTAATGGCAAAAAGCCCAGCTAAAGTGCCAAAATATATACAAAAATACTTTTAGACCATATGATCTAGCAAGTCCACTTCTGGATGTACATATAGAAACTGAAAGCAGGGTCTCAAAGATTTATATACACACACACCCATGTTGAGAGCAGTGTTATTCCCGATAGAAGGTGGAAGAAAGCTACCCAAATGTCTAGTGACAGATAAATGGATAAACAAATGTGGTATATACATACAATGGACTATTATTTTTCCTGTTTTTATTGATTTTTAGAAAGGAAAGGAGAGGGAGAAGAGACAGCTAGAAACATCGATGTGATGTGAGAGCAGAACATCAACTGGCTGCCTCCTGCATGGCCCCTACTGGGGATCGAGCCAGAAACCCAGGCATGTGCCCTGACTGGGAATCAAACCAGCGACCTCTTGGTTCATGGGTCAACATTTCTGACACATGTTACAACATGCATGAACCCAAGACATTATATTAAGTGAAATAGAACAGTCACAAAAAGACAAATCAAATACTGTATGACCCACTTATATAAGCTATCTAGAGTAATCACAAAAACAGAAAGTAGAATGTTAAGTAATCATAGAAACAGAAAGTAGAAAGATTGTTGCCAGGAATAGGGAAGGGGAAAACAGGCATTGTTTAATGGATATAGTTTCAATTGCAAGATGAAAAAGTTCTGGAAATTGGTTGCAAAACAATGTGAATACACTTAACACTACTGAATTGTACACTTAAAAATGGGTAAGATGGTAAATGTTATGTTATTGTCTATTTTAACACAATTAAAAATAAGTAAATAATGAGAAAGTACTTTCAGGCAAAATAAACTTTGTTTATATATTAATTTTCAAAAGCACCTTCCTCAGGAGGTATGAAACAGCCCAATTTATTTTCTTTTTTAATCTTCACCCGAGGATGTTTTTAAAAAATTGATTTTATAGAGAAGAAGGGAAGGAGGGAAACACCAATGTGAGAGAAACATCGACTGGATCACACCCTAAGTGCCCCAACCTGGAATTGAACCCACCACCTTTTTGGTGCACAGGAGGATGCTCCAACCAAGCCACACTGGTCAGAACTGAAAAGCCCTAATTAAGGGGGTTGGGGGAGGGGATTCTCAAGTACACTTTGTACTGAAAAAAGGAAAATCCTAAGCTTAGAAATCCTTTAGGTCACATTATTCCCAAAGCCTGATGAAAAATGGCAAACACCTATTCCCTGGCCACCTCTCACAAATGTTAACTAGAAATGAATGCCTCTATCAACCGGGACCTGGGAATCAACCTTGGAACCATTCTCATTCAAGAACTGCCTATTGTCATGTAAAAATTAGCAACCTAGTTGCCCAAACAGTGGAGTCCCACCCCAGCCTACTACTTCCCCATGTAATCCTTGTCCTACCCCATATTAGCAGCTGGCTTATGGGGGGCCACAGAGCAGATTTTTGTGGATGACCTGCTGCTTTCCCATACTGCCGGCAGTACTGGAATAAACACTCATATATGGTTTTAAAAAAAGGAATGCCTCTAAACAAAACAGTTCTTTCTAAATCATAAACTTAAAAAACTTTCATTTAACTCTAACTCTCACTTCTCACCCTTTGAACTTACCTCTTTGTCAAAGTTAGCTTTGGTGAACTCCAATGAGTTCAGGAGTGCGTTAGTAGCTGCTAGCTTCACATTATTACTAGGCTCTTCTTTCCTCATCCCCTGAATTATGGCAGTCAGAATCTCATTGGATTTATCTTGTAGCTGCTCTGGGTCCTGAAACGAGAAGCGCAATAAATATAGTAATGAACTCATGACTAATCAGCCGTCTTTTTAAGTGTAAAATCCACTTGAGTGAGGATAATGACTTTCTCTGATCTCTCGGCACACATTTCCATTTAGGGACAAAATATCCCAGGCAGCTGGTAGTCCTAAATTGATCCGAAACAAGTTGAACTCATCAACTTCATCTCTGACTTCTTAGCATGATTCTGGACATGAGGTAATAGTGTTTCCCCCGTTCTGTGCAAATGGAAATGGCAGTGTGATCCCTCCCCCTGCCCCCAGGTCACCTCTCCCAAACTGAAGTATAGCTTCAGAACATCCGAGGGTCAAAGAATC